GTGATATAGACTACCAGTGTGTTGGTGTGATATAGAGGACCAAAGTGTAGATGTGATATAAACTACCCATGTTTAGATGTGATATAGACTACCCTTGTGTTGGTGTGATATAGAATACCCATGTGTAGCTGTAATATATACTACCCACTGTGTTGGTGTGATATAGACTACTAATGTTTGGGTGTGATATAGACTACCCATGTATATGTGTGATATAGAGTACCAGTGTGTAGGTGTGATACAGCCTACCAGTGTGTAGGTGTGATACAGCCTACCAGTGTGTTGGTGTGATATAGAATACCAGTGTGTTGGTGTGATATAGAGTACCAGTGTGTAGGTGTGATACAGCCTACCAGTGTGTAGGTGTGATACAGCCTACCAGTGTGTTGGTGTGATATAGAATACCAGTGTGTTGGTGTGATATAGAATACCAGTGTGTTGGTGTGATACAGCCTACCAGTGTGCCTACCAGGTGCGTGATACAGCCTACCAGTGTGTTGATACAGCCTACCAGTGTGGTATAGAATACCAGTGTGTTGGTGTGATATAGAATACCAGTGTGTTGATGTGATATAGCCTACCAGTGTGTTGGTGTGATACAGCCTACCAGTGTGTTGGTGTGATATAGAATACCAGTGTGTTGATGTGATATAGCCTACCTTTGTGTTGGTGTGATACAGCCTACTAATGTGTGGGTGTGATATAGACTATCACTGTGTAGGTGTGATATAGACTGCCAATAAGTAGGTGGGATATATACTAATAGTGTGCGGGTGCGATATAGATTACTCATGTGTGAGTGTGATATACACTACCTATTTGTAGGTGTGAAACAGAATACCAATGTGTGTGTGTATTATAAACTTCCCATGTGTGAGTGATATATACACTGGACATATGGGGTGTGATATAGACTGCCAGTGTGTGAGTGTAATATAGACTACTAATGTGTGGGTGTGATATAGACCACCATTTTGTTCGTGTGATATAGACTATCCTTGTGCGGGTGTGATACAGCCTACCAGTGTGTAGGTGTGATACAGCCTACCAGTGTGTTGGTGTGATATAGAATACCAGTGTGTTGGTGTGATATAGAATACCAGTGTGTTGGTGTGATACAGCCTACCAGTGTGTAGGTGTACAGCCTACAGCCTTGGTGTGGTATAGAATACCAGTGTGTTGGTGTGGTATAGACTACCAGTGTGTTGGTGTGATATAGATATAGACTACCCATGTGCTTGTGTGATATAGACTACCAATGTGTAGATGTGATATAGACTACCCATGTGCTTGTGTGATATAGACTACCAATGTGTAGATGTGATAGTAGACTACCCATGTGTATGATGTGATATAGACTACCCAGACTACCCATGTGTATATGTGATATAGACTACCCATGTGTATATGTAATATAGACCAACCATGTGCATATGTAATATAGTCTACCCATGTGTTCGTGTGATATACACTACCAAAGTGTGGGTGTGATGTAGACTACCAATGTGTAGGTGTGATATAGACTACCCATGTGTATATGTAATATAGACCAACCATGTGTATATGTAATATAGTCTACCCATGTGTTCGTGTGATATACACTACCAAAGTGTGGGTGTGATGTAGACTACCAATGTGTAGGTGTGATATAGACTTTCCATGTGTAGGTGTGATATAGACTACCCATATGTAAGTGTGATATAGACTACCAATGTGTAGGTGTGATATACACTACCAAAGGGTGGGTGTGATATAGACTACCCATGTGTCGGTGTGATATACACTACCAAAGGGTGGGTGTGATATAGACTACCCATGTGTCGGTGTGATATACACTACCAAAGGGTGGGTGTGATATAGACTACCCATGTGTTCGTGTGATATACACTACCAATGTGTAGGTGTGATATAGAGTACCAGTGTGTACGTATGATATAGACTACCGATGTGATCTTGATGATAAAAAGGTATTAGTGTGTACAGTGTGATATGAAGCTATAAAGAGAGCGTAGTGTTAGACAGTGCAATGTAAATTGTTTCCATTGATATCCTGTATTCTGTGAATGGTTAACCCATACAGAATCTGACTGTGTTGTGTATACAAGTTACCTATATACGTGTGGTGTATGTTGTATACTACTTATACATGCCCTGCATATTGAAATGGTCTCCCGCAGAGCGCGTGTATCGCTGTCATTTCTAACATGTTCCGATCTCAACCACATTCCTCTCACGTCAGACGTGCTGCTTAGGGACCTTAAGACTTTCCATCCCATATAGGTGGATCTGCATTACACTGTGCGGAGGGGCATATTGACAAGACAATGTTTTAACTGCAAATCCATGGTGGACGCCCCTCTCAAGAGCCCTAAATGTCGACAACACCCGAGCGTGAAGCGCTTTAGAACACTGAAGGAGTTATTTGTATGTTGTAGTCGGCTATAAAGCAGGTCGTATATTGATAAGCAGGACATGGTCGACTCACTGATAGTACTGACGAGAAGTCCTTCCACAGATCTGTGGCCAAAGAACCGATTCGCGTTTAGATGAGATACAAAGGCAACCACTTTTAGATGAGATACAGAGACAATAGTTTCACTGAAAGGTCAGAAAGGTCAAACAAACGTTAATTAGATCGGTCCGGAAAAAAACAAACAAACATAAAGATAAACATAAAATAAACAAACAAACATAACATAACGCTGAATGGTCAGTAAGATCATGCTACCGTTACAATGATAGTTTAGGGAATAACAAACTACCGTTACAATGATAGAGTAGAGAATAACAAACTACCGTTACAATGATAGAGTAGGGAATAACATACAGCCGGTACACTGATAGTGTAGGGAATAACAAACTACCGTTACAATGATAGAGTAGGGAATAACATACAGCCGATACACTGAAAGTGTAGGGAATAACAAACTACCGTTACAATGATAGAGTAGGGAATAACAAACTACCATTACAATGATAGTTTAGGGAATAACATACTACCGTTACAATAATAGAGTAGGGAATAACATACTACCGTTACAATGATAGTTTAGGGAATAACATACTACCGTTACAATGATAGTTTAGGGAATAACAAACTACCGTTACAATGATAGAGTAGGGAATAGCATACAACCGTTACAATGATAGAGTAAGGAATAACATACTACCGTTACAATGATAGTTTAGGGAATAACATACTACCGTTACAATGATAGTTTAGGGAATAACAAACTACCGTTACAATGATAGAGTAGGGAATAACAAACTACCGTTACAATGATAGAGTAGGGAATAACATACTACCGTTACAATGATAGTTTAGGGAATAACAAACTACCGTTACAATGATAGAGTAGGGAATAACATACAGCCGGTACACTGATAGTGTAGGGAATAACAAACTACCGTTACAATGATAGAGTAGGGAATAACAAACTACCGTTACAATGATAGAGTAGGGAATAACAAACTACCGTTACAATGATAGAGTAGGGAATAACAAACTACCGTTACAATGATAGAGTAGGGAATAACAAACTACCGTTACAATGATAGAGTAGGGAATAACATACAGCCGGTACAATGATAGTTTAGTGAAGAGCATACAGCAGGTACACTGAAGGGTTAGTGAAGAGCATACAGTCGGTACATTGAAGGGGCTGGGAAGAGCATACAGTCGGTACATTGAAGGGGCAGGGAAGAGCATACAGTTGGTACACTGAAGGGGCAGGGAAGAGCATACAGTCGGTACACTGAAGGGGCAGGGAAGAGCATACAGTCGGTACACTGAAGGGGCAGGGAAGAGCATACAGTTGGTACACTGAAGGGGCAGGGAAGAGCATACAGTCGGTACACTGAAGGGCAGGGAAGAGCATACAGTCGGTACACTGAAGGGCAGGGAAGAGCATACAGGGAAGTACTGCCGGTGAAGGGGCAGGGAAGAGCATACAGTCGGTACACTGAAGGGCAGGGGAAGAGCATACAGTCGGTACACTGAAGGGCAGGGAAGAGCATACAGTCGGTACACTGAAGGGCAGGAAGAGCATACAGTCGGTACACTGAAGGGGCAGGGAAAGAGCATACAGTCGGTACACACTGAAGGGGCAGGGAAAAGCATACAGTCGGTACACTGAAGGGGAAGAGCATACAGGGAAGAGCATACAGTCGGTACACTGAAGGGGCAGGGAAGCATAGCATACAGTCGGTACACTGAAGGGGCAGGGAAGAGCATACAGTCGGTACACTGAAAGGGGCAGGAAGAGCATACAGTCGGTACACTGAAGGGGCAGGGAAGAGCATACAGTCGGTACACTGAAGGGGCAGGGAAGAGCATACAGTCGGTACACTGAAGGGGCAGGGAAGAGCATACAGTCGGTACACTGAAGGGCCAGGGAAGAGCATACAGTCGGTACACTGAAGGGGCAGGGAAGAGCATACAGTCGGTACACTGAAGGGCCAGGGAAGAGCATACAGTCGGTACACTGAAGGGGCAGGGAAGAGCATACAGTCGATACACTGAAGGGCCAGGGAAGAGCATACAGTCGGTACACTGAAGGGGCAGGGAAGAGCATACAGCCGTTACTTTGATAGGTAACAGAAGAACATGCAACCGTCAGGTTTAAGTCCATGTGTACTAAACGACCGCAGTATTGTCTGAACTACCAGCTGATTATGCTGAGTGATTGTTGGGTTAAATACAATCATACAATCATACAATCAACTAGGGAAGTCGTACCCGGACATGTGCACCAGTTGAATGAAGAAGCGTGTTGGATGGTTGAGACTAAGGTTGTTCATCAACACAGGCCTGCTTAGTTTCTCAGTCAACAGCCCCTCACCTTGCACAACTACACCCCCCTCCCACCCCCCTCGCCACTACTTCCACACACTACCACCATGTGATACTATGTGTTTCACTATTTCCGATAACCCTAACCCTAACCCTAACCCTAATCCCGACAAGTGAATTCTCTGAATACTGTGTATTAATAACGCAGGCAGATCAGGACACTCAGGATACGACCCAGCTGGTGGCGAGTCAGGCTGACGAAGATGGAGCCGGGGAAGTTGGAGCAGCGGACACTCAACAACGTATGTAAGCCGTCATTTTGGTAGTAGCCCTGTGTAGGTCAACAAAGTGGGTAGTGACTAGATACAATCAAACCGGGTGGGTAATGGCGAGATACAATCAAACAGGGTGGGTAATGACTAGATACAATACAGTTCATACAGTGTGAGAGGATGATGTTCATATAGTGTGAGAGTATAGGATGGTGTTCATATAGTGTGAGAGTATAGGATTGTGTTCATATAGTGTGAGAGGATGGTGTTCATATAATGTGAGAGTATAGGATTGTGTTCATATGGTGTGAGAGGATGGTGTTCATAGAGTGTGAGAGTATAGGATGGTGTTCATAGAGAGTGAGAGTATAGGATGGTGTTCATATGGTGTGAGAGTATAGGATGGTGTTCATATGATGTCAGAGTATAGGATGGTGTTCATATGGTGTCAGAGTATAAGATGGTGTTCATATGGTGTGAGAGTATAGGATGGTGTTCATATGGTGTGAGAGTATAGGATGATGTTCATAGAGTGTGAGATGATGGTGTTCATATAGAGTGAGAGGATGGTGTTCATATAGTGTGAGAGGATGGTGTTCATATACTGTGAGAGGATAGGATGGTGTTCATATAGTGTGAGAGGATGGTGTTCATACAGTGTGGGAGGATTGTGTTCATATAGTGTGAGAGGATGGTGTTCATATAGCGTGAGAGGATGGTGTTCAAACAGGTTGAGGGGATGGGGTTCATATGGTGTGAGAGGATGGTGTTCAAACAGTGTGAGAGGATGGTGTTCAAACAGTGTGAGAGGATGGTGTTCATACAGTGTGAGAGGATGGTGTTCATATAGTGTGAGAGGAAAGGATGGTGTTCATATAGTGTGAGAGGATGGTGTTCATACAGTGTGAGAGGATTGTGTTCATATAGTGTGAGAGGATTGTGTTCATATAGTGTGAGAGGATAGGATGGTGTTCATATAGTGTGAGAGGATGGTGTTCATACAGTGTGAGAGGATTGTGTTCATATAGTGTGAGAGGATTGGTTTCATATAGTGTGAGAGGATGGTGTTGATATAGTCTGAGAGGTTGGTGTCAAGCAATCAAACAGGGTAGTCAAACAGTCAAGTGTCCAATATAACAGGGTTGGTCGCCTTTGTTTGCAAACAAGATTTGTAGTAGGGCTGGGACGGTTCCAAATTTTCCAATCATGTTTTCCAGCCCCTACCCTGCCTGGATACCCGATATGTTAATTCCTGACATCAATTTTTTACGAAATGGCAATATATTCTTCAGCTTAATTCGAGTTTTCCATATCTGAATCATGTATTATATTCAAAACAGGTGACTGTAAATTATGTCTAAATCTTCAAAGACAATACAACTTTTTAATCATGAAAGAATAACATATTACGTTGTTTAATCTATTAGCCACATGATCATAACGGGTCCGGGTATTGAGTCCAACTCATTACCCATCCATCCCGGGTATCCTGGTTACCCGTCCCAGCCCTAGTTATACACGGCGATGGTCACTGCGTGGAACCAAACACGGTAGGTAGTTATTTCATGCAAACAAAAAGGGTGAGTAGTTACTGCATTTAAGAAAACAGAGCGGTAGACCTTGCCTTGTAATCAAACATGTTCGTCGTCACGTCATGCAAACCAACAAGGTACAAGGCCGCTCCGTACAAAAGCATCAAGGTGTGTCGTAAAGATTATCAAGTATATTGGGCAGGCAAAATACACATGATGGGTGATTAGTGCATGCATAGCCATGATGAATTGTCACCGAGAAATGAAACACATTCGCCGAATATGTACCGGGAACCTGTCTGCAAAGCGATCGTAGAGCTAAGATGATCGTGAATACTATACTTTAACATAGACTTAGGACTGTAGCTACGATCGGTCTGTGGAACAAGGTCCAGCCTCTTGATTTATGATTTTCCGCAGCATCTCAGGAAGGTGGCCAGACTCAGGCCGCTGAAGGAACAGAGAACGTCAACGGAGAAAACGTCAATTTTGGGAACACTGCTCAAGTTACTACAGATGCGACACCAGGGCAGGAACCTGCTGAGCAAGTGACACCAGATCAGGAACCTGCTGAGGAAGTGACACCAGGGCAGGAACCTGCTGAGGAGGTGACACCAGAGCAGGAACCAGCTGAGGAAGTGACACCAGAGCAGGAACCTGCTGAGGAAGTGACACCAGAGCAGGAACCTGCTGAGGAAGTGACACCAGAGCAGGAACCTGCCGAGGAAGTGACACCAGAGCAGGAACCAGCTGAGGAAGTGACACCAGAGCAGGAACCTGCTGAGGAAGCGACACCAGAGCAGGAACCTGCTGAGGAAGTGACACCAGAGAAGGAATCTGCTGAGGAAGCGACGCGAGAGCAGGAATCTGCTGAGGAAGCGACGCGAGAGCAGGAACCTGCTGCTGACCAACAGATTGTTGAAAATGGCACTGTCTCGGACTTGAACCTCTCCGAAGACCAGTTAGAAAGTAAGTAAACATTATTCCTAATACATATGATAGTAGACCGACTATAAAACGTTGCAAGATTGGGTAAGGTATACAACCTTCACAACTGTAGGGTGAGTTAACATCTTACAGGATTACGCATATAACTTTTACAACTGTAGATCGAGTTAACATCTTACTGCATTATGCATATAACTTTTACAACTGTAGAGCGAGTTAACATCTTACAGGATTACGCATATAACTTTTACAACTGTAGAGCGAGTTAACATCTTACTGCATTACGCATATAACTTTTACAACTGTAGAGCGAGTTAACATCTTACAGGATTACGCATATAACTTTTACAACTGTAGAGCGAGTTAACATCTTACAGGATTACGCATATAACTTTTACAACTGTAGAGCGAGTTAACATCTTACAGGATTACGCATATAACTTTTACAACTGTAGAGCGAGTTAACATCTTACAGGATTACGCATATAACTTTTACAACTGTAGAGCGAGTTAACATCTTACAGGATTACGCATATAACTTTTACAACTGTAGAGCGAGTTAACATCTTACAGGATTACGCATATAACTTTTACAACTGTAGAGAGAGTTAACATCTTACAGGATTACGCATATAACTTTTACAACTGTAAAGCGAGTTAACATCTTACTGCATTACGCATATAACTTTTACAACTGTAGAGCGAGTTAACATCTTACAGGATTACGCATATAACTTTTACAACTGTAGAGAGTTAACATCTTACAGGATTACGCATATAACTTTTACAACTGTAGAGAGAGTTAACATCTTACAGGATTACGCATATAACTTTTACAACTGTAAAGCGAGTTAACATCTTACTGCATTACGCATATAACTTTTACAACTGTAGAGCGAGTTAACATCTTACTGCATTACGCATATAACTTTTACAACTGTAAAGCGAGTTAACATCTTACTGCATTACGCATATAACTTTTACAATTGTAGAGCGAGTTAACATCTTATAAGATAACGTATACAATTTTCACAACTGTAGGGCCAGTTAACCATCTTACCAGATTACGGAAACAACTTTCAACTGCAGGGCGAATTATCGTCTTGCCGAAGGAATAACTTTTAGAAGGTGCACAGACCTCATAGCTGTTTTGAAGTGTTACGTACGATTGTTTCTGGGTCAATTAGCTTCTGGGTCTGTTAGTTTCCGGGAAAGAGAATATTCATTGAAAGATAGTCCAGAAACTGCACGTGGTATAAACATATCCTAGGAAAATATTTACTCTGGAACTTTTTACCTTGAATATTAGTTCCCATTGAAAGACTCTTCAGTGGGCAATGCATATCCTACTACTGGTACCTATCCGGAGATCAAGACAATACAATCAGGGTGTTAATTGCAAATCATAGAGGTACATTGATCTGGATCTATTCTAATCAGTATACCTTCGCTCCGGCTTACGAGGTCGTACATAATACATCATATCGATTTTTGCGTCTTGGTTAAAACACAAAAGCCTTCTCGGTTTCCAAATATTTATTTTTCAAAAATGTCAGTTTTTGTTTTGGGCAATACTTGTGATATTGAATCACAATGTTGTTACTGATTTTGTGTCGTTAAAATTATCCGTGTTCTGGGTGGATTATTAATACTTTGACCTCAATGCTTTGTATTTACAGCTTTCCGCTACATGTTTAAGATCCACTCAGAAAACGATCGAATCAACTTCGAGCAGTTCAAACGGCTCCTGCGCTGTGCGGGTCACAACCCAACATCAGCTGATGCACAGGCAATCTTCGACGAGGCTGACAAGGACGGTAGGCAGGGGATCAGTCTACTACATTTGTCGGGGGTTAGCATAGAGGAGAGTGGTTATACACAATGAGACACAATGGCCTTAATACAGTGTGAGCAGATGCTATACGTACATTGTGCGAAGATGATGTTCATATATACATGAAGAGGTGGTGTTCATATAGTGTGGAGGCGGTGGGGTAGCCTAGTGGTTAAAGAGTTGGCTCGTCACGCCGAAGACCCGGGTTCGATTCCCCACATGGGCACAATGTGTTAAGCCCATTTCTGGTGTCCCCCGCCGTGATATTGCTGGAATATTGCTAAAAGCGGCGTAAAACTAAACTCAGTCAGTCAGTCAGTCATATAGTGTGAGAGGAAGGTGTTCATATATACACGAAGAGGGTGGTGTTCATATAGTGTGTGAGGAAGGTGTTCATATAGTGTGTGAGGAAGGTGTTCATATAGTGTGTGAGGAAGGTGTTCATATAGTGTGTGAGGAAGGTGTTCATATTGTGTGTGAGGAAGGTGTTCATATAGTGTGTGAGGAAGGTGTTCATATAGTGTGTGAGGAAGGTGTTCATATAGTGTGAGGGATGGTGTTCATATAGTGTGTGAGGAAGGTGTTCATATAGTGTGTGAGGAAGGTGTTCATATAATGTGAGGGATGGTGTTCATATAGTGTGTGAGGAAGGTGTTCATATAGTGTGTGAGGAAGGTGTTCATATTGTGTGTGAGAGAAGGTGTCCATATAGTGTGTGAGGAAAGGTGTTCATATAGTGTGTGAGGAAGGTGTTCATATAGTGTGAGGGGATGGTGTTCATATAGTGTGTGAGGAAGGTGTTCATATAGTGTGAGGGGATGGTGTTCATATACTGTGAGAGGAAGGTGTTCATATAGTGTGTGAGGAAGGTGTTCATATAGTGTGTGAGGAAGGTGTTCATATAGTGTGAGAGGATGGTGTTCATATAGTGTGTGAGGAAGGTGTTCATATAGTGAGTGAGGAAGGTGTTCATATAGTGTGTGAGGAAGGTGTTCATATTGTGTGTGAGGAAGGTGTTCATATAGTGTGTGAGGAAGGTGTTCATATAGTGTGAGAGGAAGGTGTTCATATAGTGTGAGGGGAAGGTGTTCATATAGTGTGTGAGGAAGGTGTTCATATAGTGTGTGAGGATGGTGTTCATATAGTGTGAGAGGAAGATGTTCATATAGTGTGAGAGGATGGTGTTCATATAGTGTGTGAGGAAGGTGTTCATATATACACGAAGAGGAAGGTGTTCATATAGTGTGAGGGGATGGTGTTCATATAGTGCGTGAGGATGGTGTTCATATAGTGTGAGAGGAAGATGTTCATATAGTGTGTGAGGATGGTGTTCATATAGTGTGAGAGGATGGTGTTCATATAGTGTGTGAGGAGGGTGTTCATCTATACACGAAGGGGGTGGTGTTCATATAGTGTGTGAGGAAGGTGTTCATATAGTGTGTGAGGAAGGTGTTCATATAGTGTGTGAGGAAGATGTTCATATAGTGTGAGAGGATGGTGTTCATATAGTGTGAGAGGAAGGTGTTCATATAGTGTGAGAGGAAGGTGTTCATATAGTCTGAGAGGATGGTGTTCATATAGTGTGTGAGGAAGGTGTTCATATAGTGTGTGAGGAAGGTGTTCATATAGTGTGGGAGGAAGGTGTTCATATAGTGTGTCAGGAAAGTGTTTATATAGTGTTAGGAAGGTGTTCATATAGTGTGTGAGGAAGGTGTTCATATTGTGTGTGAGGAAGGTGTTCATATAGTGTGTGAGGAAGGTGTTCATATTGTGTGTGAGGAAGGTGTTCATATAGTGAGAGGATGGTGTTCATATAGTGTGAGAGGAAGGTGTTCATATAGTGTGTGAGGAAGGTGTTCATATAGTGTGTGAGGAAGATCTTCATATAGTGTGAGAGGATGGTGTTCATATAGTGTGAGAGGATGGTGTTCATATAGTGTGAGAGGAAGGTGTTCATATACTGTGTGAGGAAGGTGTTTATATAGTGTGAGAGGAACGTATTCATATATACATGAAGAGGGTTGTGTTCATATAGTGTGAGAGGAAGGTGTTCATATATACACGAAGAGGGTGGTGTTCATATAGTGTGTGAGGGAGGTGTTCATATATACATGAAGAGGGTTGTGTTCATATAGTGTGAGAGGGTGGTGTTCATATAGTGTGAGAGGATGATGTTCATATATACACGAAAAGGGTGGTGTTCATATAGTGTGAGAGGAAGGTGTTCATATATGCATGAAGAGGGTTGTGTTCATATAGTGTGAGAGGAAGGTGTTCATATAGTGTGTGAGGAAGGTGTTCATATAGTGTGAGAGGATGATGTTCATAAATACACGAAGAGGGTGGTGTTCATATAGTGTGAGAGGATGATGTTCATAAATGCACGAAGAGGGTGGTGTTATATAGTGTGAGAGGATGATGTTCATAAATACACGAAGAGGGTGGTGTTCATATAGTGTGAGAGGAAGGTGTTCATATATACACGAAGAGGGTGGTGTTCATATAGTGTGAGAGGATGATGTTCATATATACACGAAGAGGGTGGTGTTCATATAGTGTGAGAGGAAGGTGTTCATATAGTGTGAGAAGCTTATGTGTGACACCAAGGTATGAACCTGGTCTCGGAGGCGAAGGAATGAACCAGGGCTGTGAGAGGATGGTATGAACCGTTTGTAGGAGATGATAGTATGAACCGTCTGTGGGAGCGGATGGTATGAACCATGTGTAGGAGACGATGGAATGAACCGTGCGTGGGAGAAGATGGTATCAACCGTGTGCGGAAAGGATGGTATGAACCGTGTGTTAGAGAGGATGGTATGAACCGTGTGTTGGAGAGGATGGTATGAACCGTGTGTTGGAGAGGATGGTATGAACCGTGTGTTGGAGAGGATGGTATGAACCGTGTGTTGGAGAGGATGGTATGAACCGTGTGTGGGAGAGAATGGTATGAACCGTGTGTTGGTGTGAACCGTGTGTTGGAGAGGATGGTATGAACCATGATAGGAGAGGATGGTGTGTACCGTGTGTTGGAGAGGATGATATGAACCGTGTGTTTGAGAGGATGGTATGAACCGTGTTTTGGAGAGGATGGTATGAACCGTGTGTTGGAGAGGATGGTGTGTACCGTGTTGGAGAGAATGGTATGAACCGTGTGTTGGTATGAACCGTGTGTTGGAGAGGATGGTATGAACCATGATAGGAGAGGATGGTGTGTACCGTGTGTTGGAGAGGAGGATGATATGAACCGTGTGTTTGAGAGGATGGTATGAACCGTGTTTTGGAGAGGATGGTATGAACCCTGTGTTGGAGAGGATGGTGTGTACCGTGTTGGAGAGAATGGTATGAACCGTGTGTTGGTATGAACCGTGTGTTGGAGAGGATGGTATGAACCATGATAGGAGAGGATGGTGTGTACCGTGTGTTGGAGAGGATGATATGAACCGTGTGTTTGAGAGGATGGTATGAACCGTGTGTTGGAGAGGATGGTATGAACCGTGTGTTGGAGAGGATGGTGTGTACCGTGTTGGAGAGGATGGTATGAACCGTGTGTTGGAGAGAATGGTATGAACCGTGTGTTGGTATGAACCGTGTGTCGGAGAGGATGGTATGAACCATGATAGGAGAGGATGGTGTGTACCGTGTGTTGGAGAGGATGATATGAACCGTGTGTTTGAGAGGATGGTATGAACCGTGTGTTTGAGAGGATGGTATGAACCATGTCTGGGAGAGGATGGTATCAACCGTGTGTTGAAGAGGATGGTATGTACCGTGTGTGGAGAGGATGGTATGAACCGTGTGTGGGAGAGGATGGTATGGACCGTCTGAGGGAGAGGATGGTATCAACTATGTGCAGGAGGGCCTGGTATGAACTGTGTGGGAGAGGATGGTATGAACAGTGTGTGAAAGAGAATGGTATGAACCATACGCGGGAGGTGATGTTATGAAGCGTGTGTGGGAGATAATGGTATGAATCGTATTTGGGAGAGAATAGTGTTTACCGTTTGTGGGAGAGGATGGTATGAACCATGTGTGGGAGGTGATATTATCAACCGTATATGGGAGAGGATGGTATGAACCGTGTGTAGGAGAGGGTGGTATGAACCGTGTGTCAGAAAGGATGGTATGAACAGTGTGTAGAAGAGGATGGTACAAAACGTGTGTGAGAGAGGATGGTAGGAACCGTCTGTGGGAGAGGGTTGTATGAACCGTGCGTGGAAGAGGATGGTATGAACCGTCTGTGGGAGGTGAGGGTTCCGTTGTATGAACCATACGCGGGAGGTGATGGTATGTTCCGTGTGTGGGAGAGGATGGTATGAACCGTCTGTGGGAGAGGGGGTTGTATGAACCATGTGTTGGGGAGGTGATGGTATGTTCCGTGTGTGTGGGAGGATGGTATGAACCGTGTGTGGGGAGAGGTATGTGGTATAAACAGTTTGTGGGAGAGGATGGTATGAACTGTATGTGGGAGAGATTAGTGTGACCGTGTGTGTTGGAGAGGATGGCGTGAACGTGTGTGGGAGAGGATGGGTATGAACCGTGTGTTTGAGAGGATGTTATGAACCATGTTTGGGAGAGGATGGTATGAACCGTGTGTTGGAGAGAAAGGGATGGACCGTATGTGGGAGAAAATGGTATGAAACTTGCGTTGGAGAGGATGGTATGGACCGTATTTGGGAGAGTAAGGTATGAACCGTCTGTGGGAGAGGGTTGTATGAACCATACGCGGGAGGTGATGGTATGTTCCGTGTGTGTGGGAGGATGGTATGAACCGTGTGTGGGAGAGGGTGGTATAAACAGTTTGTGGGAGAGGATGGTATGAACTGTATGTGGGAGAGATTAGTGTGTACCGTGTGTTGGAGAGGGATGGCGTGAACGTGTGTGGGAGAGGATGGTATGAACCGTGTGTTTGAGAGGATGTTATGAACCATGTTTGGGAGAGGATGGTATGAACCGTGTGTTGGAGAGAGGAAAGGGATGGACCGTATGTGGGAGAAAATGGTATAGAAACTTGCGTTGGAGAGGATGGTATGGACCGTATTTGGGAGAGTAAAAGTATGAACAGTTTGTTGGAGAGGGATATTATGAACCGTGTGTTTGAGAGGATGGTATGAACCGTGTGTTTGAGAGGATGGTATGAACCGTGTGTTTGAGAGGATGGTATGAACCGTGTGTTTGAGAGGATGGTATGAACCATGTGTTTGAGAGGATGGTATGTACCGTGTGTTTGAGAAGGATGGTATGAACCGTGTGTTTGAGAGGATGGTATGTACCGTGTGTTTGAGAGGATGGTATGAACCGTGTGTTTGAGAGGATGGTATGAACCATGTGTTTGAGAGGACGGTATGAACCATGTTTGGGAGAGGATGGTATGTACCTTGTGTGGGAGAAGGATAGTATGAACCGTGTGTTGGAGAGGATGGTATGTACGATGTGTTTGAGAGGATGGTATGAACCGTGTGTTTGAGAGGACAGTATGAACTATGTTTGGGAGAGGATAGGCATGAACCGTGTTCGGGAGAGGATAGTATGAACCGTGTGTGGGACATGGTTGTCTGAATGCTTTTAGTGAGTGGATGGTCTGAATTCAGGTTATGATGGAGTGGTATAAATTCAGGCTGTGTGGGGAAAGGTGTTGTACGGGTTAATATGAATTGAATGGGAATTTGATGTGTGCGAAAACAATTTGTGATGTAGTGGACATATGGTTTGACCAATAGATCTTTTAATTTCCAACAGCACAGTTCATTGTCTTAGAATATTCAAAAGAATATGTGTCAATATGCCTCTTTGATTTAATTATTTTTCACATTTTATCACTTTCCAGATAACGGTACAGTTAACTTTGAGGAGTTCTGTCGTCTGCACGCGGCCCACGACGTGCCTGTGGAACAACAGGAGATGGAGATAATAAACTGCATCAACAAAGGTGTTCCCCAGGGACCAGGAGGAGATCCCGCTGCTGCGCAAGGTCCAGCAGATCATGGAAAAGTCAGTCTGCAGCGTGACGAGCTGCCTCACAAAAGATGATCTCCATACTTTGGTCACCGACCTGGACAGAAGGCAACGGCATGGTCGACAGAATAGGTTTGCCCTGCAAACATTCAGGTCTGTCAACCTACACATCACTGTACGAGCGGATCTAGGTCTATCTAACTACAAAATGTGTACAAACATTCAG